GTATATATACAAGCATAGACAGTGCTAGGGACGATTACCTGTGGCTGCGAAAATGTTGTATGGCTGTATGACATTACCTGCAAAAGAAGAAGAAAGCTGAATTATTATATGCAAAATAGAAATGTGAATGTACATAAATAAAAGTTATATCCAGAAATATAAATGACACATTACAATTGCCGTTGCAGTTGCAGTTGCAGTTGCAGTTGCGAGCTATCGCATCTGTTTAAGGTTACATTTCCGCAGTGGCTAAATAAATACTTATACCTATATACAGAGACACATACACATGTATAGTATAAGTGTTCTCAATGCATGTGTGTTTGCCAAGTTAACTCCACAGCTCGCCTAACTTCCGCTGGCAACTTTAATTACAAGTAACAAAAGCAAATGCCAAACGGCCGACAATTTTCTTCACTCCGGCTCTGAGCTCTGCGTAAATGAAACCAAAACTCAAGGTAAAGCTCAAAAGCCCCGCCAGAACAATGTGTGAGAGAGAGAGAGAGAAAACATACACACACGCACGCACACATATACTATATGGAAATCGTAGACACTACGAAATCGACATTTCATATACATATTACTTTAACGTCCCAACTATTTATAAACATGCGATCATCATGCGAAAAGCACAAGAGGAACCCCAAGAAATGTTCAATCCCATCAAGCACAGCCAACGACAACAACAACAACAACAGCAACAACAACAGCAACAACAGCAGCAACAGCAACAGCAGCAGCAACAGAAGCAAAGAGGAGCAGCAAATGGTAGCAAGAAGTGCTACGAATCTGTGGCTATTAAAGCTCGCCACACACATACACACACACTAACCACAGAGACACATACAAAGACACTCGCAGGTGGGCTGTTATTTGGTTGTGAAGCACCTGAAGGCGTATTTGCACAACAATGAATACCCTGTAAACGACCAATTAAGCAGAAGCATAATATAAGGGCTAATAAAGGAAGAGGGAGGAAGATGAAGTTGGAAGAGAGAGAGAGAGAGAGAGAGAGTGGGTGAGAGAGAGAGAGAGAGAGAGAGACACAGTGAGAGAGAGAGTGAGAGAGAGAGAGCGAGGGACAGGAAGTAAAATATACGAAAATATTATTCCAGTATACTATTAATTTGCAGTTCTCTTAGATCAATTTAAAATTAATTATTATCTAATTTAAGATACGTACAATATTTGTCAATATAAGACCTGTCGAAATTTCCATTAATTGTTTAATTTACTAATTTTTAATATTAAATTCTCACACATCCTTAATTTTAGAACTCGTTACACAATCTTTTGGCTGAAATAGTTTTTAAATTATCTACACTTTAATTATTAAATAAAATAGTTAATATCTTCAATTATTTGTTTAATTCATTTATTTACAAGTTAGAAGAAGACTTGACCTCGTCTGTCCATAATTTGTTCGTTTCCCCGGAAAAACTAACCCGTCTAGCTCTGTTAAGTTCTATGACAGAGTTGCCACAATCGGCACAGCAGGGTTGCCAATTCCAACCAATATTTTCAAATGAATAGTAATTACTTCAACTACTCAGAGAAGGTTTGAACTCAGCTAAATTGAATGAGTCCAAAAGTTAATTTCAGCTCTAGCAAACATTATGGAAACCACTCAATTTGAATTATTTATGGCTAATGCCGAATTGAATGAGCAAATTGCGAGCCCGAGTGCGAAATACACTTGAAATATTAAACATTTTAACTTTAATGTTAAATGATTTTGTGAGATATGCAACTAAACTGTTGACTGCACAAAAACAATGCAAGCGATGCGAAAACATTGCAATTTGCCATATAAAAAGCCAATCAGCTACAGCTGTAAGTAAGGAGTGAGAGAGAGAGATAGAGAGAGAGAGAGAGAGAGAGAGTCAAAGACCAGACGAAGTTTGAATACCCTAGCAGAATGTTAAGTGCATCGATGTTACATCTGTTAAGTTACATATTTAGTAAATTAACTATAGATCGTGACTCGATCACTTCTTACATCAAATGTAAGCCTCCTTAGTAATATTTCATCATCAACAAATTGCTAAGAGAGCCTAGCGACCTTCTAGCTGACTTATATATCAAAAGTTAACCAGCTGATTGACGTTAACAGTACTGAATGCTACAATACTACCACTAGATCTATATCAGATAATGATATTCGAAATGAATAAACTAAAATCTATACTAATGCCAATAATAAGACTAATTATAGTCTATCAAAATACCCATAAAAATCAAAAACGTCAATATTTATACTAATACTAATTCTTACATTCTTCTGAGTCTGTACTAATAATTACCTATAAAAAATAAATATACAAAGATTAATGTAACATTAATAAGTATATTTATACCAATTCAAATTTGACTAATATCATTATACTAATATCCATACTAATAGCAAATGGGCTACACTTTTCCCATTTCGAGTCATACTAAATTAATAAGTCTATCTTCTGAATGACTTCCTTACACAGGCCGTTGCAAATTTATGGAACCCACTGAAAGTGTATCAAGCCGAATGGAAACAGAAATAGGTGGCCAGGCCAAAACCACTTTCAATGGCATCCACGCAGACCCAGTCCGAGCCAGCAACTGGTTTGGCCACGAAGCAGAGAAACACCAAGTGCAGCGAGTAGTGCACTGGGCAAGCGGGACAGACAGACCGAACAGCCCGAACAGCCCGAACAGCCCGAACAGCAGCCGCAGTATTTGTAACCGCTTTCTAAACATGCCACAGCCAACTGCAATGGGCAGTGGCTAATGGTTAATGGTTAGACGAGACGGCCGGAGTGGGCTTTCGTTTCAAATGCGCGTTGCTGCCACAAAGTGGCCTTGAATTTTTAATCAAGTTTCGCAGACAAGCCGCAGGCACAGATCACGGCCCCTGAGACTCGACTCGACGCGACTCGACTCGACTTTAGTCGGCTCAATTCGCGATTCGAATCGTAGCAAGACTCCAGTCTCAACTGCCACGAAATTGCTTGGTCATGTTTTAGACACACACACACACACTCACACACATACAGATTCGGTATACACGTTAGATTTAAACAAGTTCTATTGAACTTGGCTACTAAACCTTTACCTGAGCTTTACCTTTTTTTCTTTTTTTTAATTTATTTTGTTTTTGTTGTTGCACCAAATGATTAATGGAATAAACGCGCGCAATTTGAGCCAACTGTCTGAGCTCTCTCACAGTCTCACACACACAAGCTTAAATACTCATTTATATTTTTTTGTGAAAATATTATTTTAGTTCGACAAAAACGCCAAAAATTGCCCGCTGTGCAAAAAAGTCGCAGAAAAGCGCGAAATTCTGGAACCCAAATACAAAACGTGTTGCTTAAATAAGAAGAAGAGGAAGAAGAATCTGCATTGAATTACGAGTGGGAGTTACTTATGAACCGATGTGCCGAAAAGGTACCAAGCAGAGCATTGTTAAGAGTTGCGAGCTCTCGATGAATCTGAGATCTCTTATAGATGATGCATACTTCAAGTGGATATAATTCAACGCCTATCCATTTACAACTAGTACATTTATAGATTCAAAAGATAATAGATTCGATATGGAGAAAAAATGTAAGCATAGTTACAAATTCAATATACATATATACGTTTCTCTAAGTTGCATTCTACACCGAATTTATGTAGTTATGTGAAATATTTTCATAAAAAAATTCATTTATTCATTTTAATTAAAGAAACATGAAACAAAACAGAAAAACAAGCGACGATGACATCAAATCGGAAATTACTGTTAACGTATTGAAAAATTATTATTTTCATGGTATAAAAATTTAAAATATGCATATTTCTAACATGGGTGAGATATATTTAGAATCAAAGGCCAAGAAAGACCCACGAATAAACAATTTCGTCGTCTTTTATTTTCGGTAATCATTTAGCTGAACTATAAATTGAGTGGGAACTTTAGTAATATATTATATAAATAATAAATAATATTAACAGTAAATTTTAAAGGCAGCAAATAATAAATAATTTTAAGAAAAATATTATGATTGTTAATTATGATTGTTAAATGCTATCAACAGTAATTAATGCTAACAATAAGGAATATTAAGAATAAATAAATAATATTAAAAGCAAACCTCATTTCAATGCTCAGTTCTTGTTTTAGTCTTTAGTTTAAGTTTCTTGTTTGCGGCCTTCGTGAAGTTTCGTGAATTCTTTGTTTTCGCCTTTTGATTAATGGCACGCACATTTTTGAGGCGTGACAAGCGGCTAAAGGAATTGTCATAAGCCATGCAACAGCTCATGACTAATAAAGAGACGCAGCAAACCCCAATGATAAATAAAAGCAGCAAAATAAACACAAACGAAGACTGCAGCAAACAGCAAATGAAACAGAAACCGAAACCGAAACAAACTTCAACTTTAACTTCAACTTAACAGAAGAAGAAGAAGAAGCAGACGCCAACTGCGCCTTCCTAAAATCATAAAATAAATAAAGCTGAAGTCAGACTAAAAGCCGACATGTGTAAACGCTGACAGGCGCAGGCCAAAGGGGTCGGCGGCAGAAAGCGGACTTTGACTCTGTGTGTATGTGTGTGTGTGTGTTTCACTTTTGATGTGCAAAAGTGAGGAGAGAGTGAACAGCGATTCTCGCTTGCATTTAAAAAACACACCCAAAAAATACTTTTAAGCAGAAAAAACACAATATTCTGCCTCGTTTTTCCTGTTTTTATTTGATTTGCAGTGCATTTCATGTCAACGACGAAATTGAATCATTTGACAAAAAGCAACGAGCAACGAGCTTTATCAATTTCTTGGCTCGACGCTCGACGTTCGCCCGAAATGCAAATTATGCGTTTAGCTAAAAGAATATTTTTTGACAACCCAGAGAGAGAAGAGAGAGAAAGGCAGTACCCCTGCCGAAATCGCATTACGGCTTTGGACAAATGGACTGCGCGATGGACAACTGAATGGAGATTCAAAAATTCTGAGGCCATGTATGTAAAAATATGCACAGCCTATAAATCAAAAGCCCTGGCTCATCTGACATTCTCATTTGCCTGTGTATGTGCGTGTGAATGTATGTGTGTGTCCG